TTTTTTTTTTTTTTTTTGTAGGGTTGAGATTTTAACCATTTATTTAGTCTATTTTTTAAAAGAAAAAAACGCTCCAACTTTAAAGTTTAAAAAATAATAATCCAATAATGTTTAATTTTAATCTTTAATGGGTCAATTTAAAATTCATTTTTTTTATAAGCCTCTTAATCTAAAAAATAATATATAACTTGGTCAGAAAAAAATAAGTTAATTAAAATCGAGTAGGAAATCGAAACAAGGTTACTATAACAGTGTCAAAATCATATTTGAAAAAACTATAATGATAGATAAATCTATATAATATTGAGACCTAAATTAAAGAGCGACCTAAATTGATATTGAAATGAGCCACATTAATATTGACGAGATGAACTAAATTGATATTGAGACGAGTTTAACCGATATTGAGATGAACTAAATCAATATGACTTTTTTTATCCGTCATTTTTTTGTCATATATATAATAATGACTTAAATCAATATCACATTTTTATTTTTTATATATGTTTATTGAGATGGTGTGTTTTTCTAAATTGAAATTTTTTATTTAAAAAACTTCCTACATTACTCAAATTTTTTCAAAAGTATTATAATTTGAATAAATAAATAAAATAGCATTTTAATTAATGTAGTATATTTTTAGTTAATTAAAATATAAAAGGACATTGGAATGATTATACACGTTTTATTCTAATGGTATTGTAAGTAAATAAATATAATAAAATTATTAATATTAAAATTGCACTCCCTTTCCGTACCCCTCCTACCACCCCCACCGGCCACCATCATTGGCCCTCCACCACCGTCGCTTACCGTCACCAAACTCCATCCTCCTCGCTCCTTTGGGGAGTTTTCACACTCTTATAAAAATGATTTGTTCTCCTCTCTAATCGAAATGGGATCTTACAGATTAATCTACCACCAAAAACCATATTCAGCAATCACTCTTCAGTGACCACTAGTGGTTGGCTTCCTGATACACCCAACATGTATCCTTTACCACAAAAATAATTATCAGCAATCACCTCAAAACGTATAATCTTTTTATGAACAATAAAGCCGAAAAGCAATCAACATACAATCATATAATAACATACATACATAACCATATTTAGAAAACCAAAAACATTAAGCTTGGTTGATTAACACATCGAACCTCCAACATCGATATTCATGTTACTGTGTTTACATTTATAAGTGAGTATTAACGTTATTTTGAATACAAAATCAAGAACTAACCAATTATTCGTGGAAAGAACAGTTCATACGCAGGTGATGTACAACCACCGACGGCAGCCCTTTGCATTTTCGTGGCGGCAACTTCCTTTTGGAGGAGGAGGAGGGATGAACAAGAAGAACTTGGTGATATCAGATGCATGTAATTGTGAGATAAAATCAATTTAGGGTTATTATTATTATTATTATTATTATTATCATCATTATTATTTTGATAATGCATATAATGGATATAAAAGTGTGTGTATATATATATATATATATCTATTATTAACCATCAGCCTATACATCTAAATACTTAATATGGAAGTCATTTTATTATTATTTTATTTTTTTTGATCTCTTTCTTTTCTTTGGCCGTTAAATTTGGTGTACCATAAAAGAAAATAATTGAATTAAAAATTAAAAATTATATTTTCTATTTTTTATTTTATTTTATTGACAGTATTTACTAAAATACATAAATAAAATTAATGAGTCGAATTGGGTGTCAAGTTAGGAATCCTTACCCTCATACAAACGTCATCTTTACTTGGGTACAACCTTTATCAATCATATTCTCATTTCTTTTTTGGTGGACTTTTCGAACTTTTTATTAAAAATTATATTAATTTCTTCTTTTTATAAGAATATACATTTTCTAAGATTTTATTTTTTTTTTTAAAAAAACATCAATTTATATGTGTTAAAACTAAATTTAATTTTATTTGAGTCCAGCTTAAATGGCTAAAAAATTAGAATGTCTTACCAAAGTTCAAATCCAACAAGTGAAGCCCATTTACTTATAGATATATTAAAGTTGTATGTCTAAAAAAAATAAAATTAGAAGATGTAGACTCAGTGGTTAGAGTATTGCTTTCATACGGCGGGAGTCATTGGTTCAAATCCAATAGTAGGTAGAACTTATTAGATACCGTTGCCTCTGTTATCTTTTCCATCCCACTCTATATTTATTTCATTTTTTAATTGTAATTCTTTTTTACATGAAAATTTCATTTCACTTGATTAAAGATAGGAGTTTGTCGCTAGGTATTTGACCAAATAGGATTGTGCAGTTCCTATAGAACCTATCACTAAAATACCCCTACGGGGGGATAGGGCTAAGCGGAGCGAAAAGGGTTTTCCATGAGATGGGAAATTCAAACTATTAGCCCCACACGAGGTTTGTGAATAAGTAATTGTCTGATAATGAGCAAGGAATGTCCGTCTTTCTGCTAAACAAGATGTATTGAACTCATAATTCATTAGATACTTTTTATGAATGTCNCCAACAAGTGAAGCCCATTTACTTATATGTCTAAAAAAAATAAAATTAGAAGATGTAGTAAGTTTTTGAAGATGGAATACTCAAATATCAAATACCTTATTAAGGAGAGCATGAAAAATCAACCTCGAAAATAAGCTCGGAAGCTATCTGATTGTACGTTTGAGAGAGAAAAAAGATGTATTTAAAGAATCACGTTGAGAACCAAATTGTCACCGAATCAAGTTAGATTTCTATTGTCAAAGATCACGACAAAGAGAAGGTGTGATATTAGGATTCCATTTTAAAGCAAGCCTCTCTCATACACAAAATAAGACACGTGATGGAGGAGAGAGAAGCTATGGCAAAGGAGAGACTTGGTGCTTCGTCTGCAAGGAGGAGAGGCCTTTTGGGATGAATAGTTTATCAGCGTTCTTATTTGAACATCTTATTTAGGTCACATAATTATGTTCTTAATTTTTAGGCGTGGATATTAGCAAGAATTGATTGAAACTTTAGTATGGGTTCACATTGTTTGTCTCAGACATATTTTGAAAGCAAACGGGAATTGCTGATTGCTTGATTAACTAATCCTAGCCCAAGAGATTGTGCGTAATTTTAATTTATGCGTGCAGCCATTGTTAATATGATACAAAGAAGGGAAAAAAAGGACAAACATATATGTATAGATATATATATATATATATATTATTTCAACCCATACTGGAGCTTATCCATGGCGGATCCCTTCCAGCTCCCTGCCACACTGGAATGATCGGAGCTGGCAGCCGATCCGACGCCGTTTCCACACTTAGCCACCGTCCTCACGTTCTCAATCAACTCCTCCGTACGATTACCCTGCTTCAAAATCTCCGACAGCTGTTCCGGGCATATCACCAGCTTCACCTTCCAAACCCCCGTACTACTATACTTCGGAAACACCTCCGCCTCCCCCTCCGCCGCCCGCTTCTTCGCAACCGCATTCTGCGACTCGCACGTCGACATCCGATACGGCGTGGAAACAACGCTGGGCGCGTCCGCCTCGATTTTGGCAGAGGGCTTGTAAGGGTTAAGCGGGAGAAGGTAATAGACTTGACCCTCGTGAAGCTCATCCTTATGAAGAAGGGGCTCCGAGAATATACTTCGGCTCTTAAAAATCGCGTGGCCGGGATATTCCCCTGTTATGCACTCCGCCGTAATCGGCGCATAAAGCTCCATAATTCCGCCGTCGACAGTCACCACTTTCACCACATCGACCCTTTCTCCGGCGACTTTCAACACGCAATTTCCCATATCCGGAAGCTAGAACATAGCAACAGAAAATTAAAATGTGCATAAGAAGAAGAAAAAGAAGGGAATATGTTCGATGGAAAAGAACAGAGCGCAAGAATCCTTTGCTTTCTAAATAAACAATACCTCCTGAATCCTCATATATGGGCAGTGAGCAGTCCAGGAGATGATGATGATGGCGATGGCCCCGCGGCCCGATGGCCTTAGCTTTTTGTCTTTTACAGACTCCTTTTTAATGAACAGAACAACGCAACATCGTTCTCGATATTCTACAGAATTATGAACACTATTTGTTTCATCTCTTTTAATTTACTCTCCAAAATAATTGAGCATCGAATTATTTTGTGGGTAATGCGTATGAATGTTGACAAAATTGGAGTAATAAATTGGGATAATGATGAAGAAGGTGAGTGAGTATTACACACAATGCCTGGGTTGTCAGCTTTCCTCACAAATGGAGCCCATCGCTACCATTATATGTGATTTGTGTATGTCACTTCCTTCATTTTTTCATATGCTATTCTTCTACATTCATTTAATAATCCATTAATTTGCTGAATCTTAGCTTCTTATAGTATCACATTTCACCCTGTATTCAATTATTTTTTCTTCCACATTCATCCTTTCGCAAGCTTAGAAACTGAGCTTCGAAGTCTTAGTGGTACTGTCCATTCATGTACTTTGAGAGCTTTCCTATCTATTTGAATAATTGACCGAAAGAGGGCTTCTCCATTTGCTACCCTTAGTATATAAGGGACTTTTGCCTAGAATAGAAGAAAATCTCAAGGCAAAAGTAGAGAATGAAAATGACAAAGCATTGGTCTCAACGAGCGTCAGGTACTTCTCGATCTGTCTCACTAGTGCAGCGGATTGCTCTTTCTTTAATCTTTAGTTAAGACTACCATTGAAGATGGGTTAATCCAAGCTTAATGGTCGACCACATTCAATAAGTGTTTCAATCCAACTAGTTTATGAAAGGTTAAAGACAGTCTCTTTAGGGGTTCCTTTTTTAAGGGAAAAAGTTCGAAAATACAAACTTTTAACACCTTTATGACTAATATTCTTTACGAGTATTCTGGATCACCGAACCAATCTGAACTACTCAATCTAAATTATAAAAGTTAGATTGGCTTGGGTTGAGTTATTAAAAAATCGAAATTTTAGTTCAATTTGTAGGTTAACATTTAACCTCGACATAAAATTATAACTCAACCTAGCTCTGTTTTATTCCAAAAAGATTAAAAGTTTGTAATTGATGTGACTATAGTTAAACTTTATAAGATTTTAGTTATTAATGTAACATATAATGTATATAAGTTTTTTTTTAAAAAAAGAACATCTCCGAAAAACAAGGATTGAGTTGGATGGTAAACTCTATTCTAATAGGTCGGGTCACCAACTAGTAAAACAAATTCACCTGAACCTGAACCAAATTTAATCGTGAAAAGTAATTAAGGGTAAGAGAAACAAGGCATTTTTTATGATAAAAGAAGGCATTATAAAAAGTTTAATGAAAAGAAGAAAGAGAAAGGATGGTGATTAGAGGTTAAAACAAGCCTTAAAAAGTAGTGCACAAAAGGAAATATGATTACGAAAGAGGTAGTAGGGCGGTGCTCCTTTTCGCTTTCTACTCTGAGTCTCATTTTAAGATTTTTAAAACGTGTATGTTAGTGAGAGATATCTATACTCTTGAGATCTCACCGCTGAATTCATTGTTTAATAACAACAATTTAAGTTAAAAATTTTGCAACTTGAGTAAATGGGTTGGGTCTAAAAATATCTCAATCCCGATCTACTTAATATTCTTGAATTAATAATATATACATTTATTGGTAACTTGGAACATAAGATTTGAATTTTGGAGTTAGAATTATGAGTGTAAGGGGAGAAGGGCAATGAAATGATATAGGGAAGGGAGGTGGAGGAGAAGCATCATGAACATCAAATCTTGTTGATTAGAAGATGCTTTGAAGCAACTTTATCGCTATAATCATTCAACCTGTTGCAACCATTCCAAATTTTCAACTCTCTTTCAGTTTTCTAAATTCTTCCCTATGTAATCATTATCCTTACCATATTGGAAGCCCATATAAGAAATTGAAATAATTATATTCATTAATATGATTAACGACTATAAACATTGCAACTTAATCCAAATTCACCGCTAATAGATATTGAATCAGACATCGTTGGTGTGCAACAAGGATGTTGAGCCCTCAAGGAAGTGGATTGTAAAATCTCGCATTGGTTGTAGAGGGAAACGAAACATTCTTTATAATGATGTGAAAACTTCTCTCCAACATACGCGCTTTCAAACCGTAAGGTTTACGGCAATACGTAATAGGTCAAAGCGCACCGTATGCATTGACTTTCACTCTTTGAATAACAAATGTCCAAAAGATTCAAAACGGAGAGTATGCATTGACTTTCGCTCTTTGAATAACAAATGTCTCCGAGATGAATTTCCATTACTCATTACTAAGATTGTGGTTCATTTTATGATGGATCATTATGTTATAAATAAATTCAAATAACTCTTGTAGATGAAGAGATGACGTGTAACGGTCTAAGCCCCCCTAGTAGATATTGTCCTCTTTTGACTTTCTCTTTCGGGCTTCACCTCAAAGTTTTTAAAACGCGTCTGATAGGAAAATGTTTCCACACTTTTATAAAAAATTCTTAGTTCTCTTCACAAACCGATGTGAGTCTCACAATCAACCCTCCTTTGGGGCCAGCGTTCTCATTGACACTCGTTCCCTTCTTCAATCAGTGTGGGATCCCCCAATCCACCCTCTTCAGGATCAAGTGTCCTTGTTGGCACACCGCCTCGTGTCCACCGCCCTTCGGTGCTCAGTCTTCTCACTGACACATCATCTAGTGTATGACTTTGATACCATTTGTAATAGCTCAAGTCCACCATTAGCAGATATTATCCTCTTTGGGTTTTTGCTTCTAAGTTTTTCTTCAAGATCTTTAAAACGTGTGTCTAATAGGGAGAGGTTTACAGGCCCTTATAAAAAAAATGATTCGTTCTTCTCCCTAACCAATGTGGAATCACACATGACGACCTTTCGAACTCTAGAAAAGATATTGTTACTTGAAGATCCGATGAAAAAGTCTTCGTTGTTGAAAATTTGGAGACTTGAACTAGAGTAACGGGAGACATTGCCCTTATTTCGTTCGAGAAACACATGCTTTTGTGCTCGAACAATGTTGTTGAATATCCAAAAACTTGGCTAGGACGAACATTTTGCATTGTCACAAGTAAATTATACCACCAATTGAAGATGAACATCAAGAAATAAACATGATCTTCGATTGGGATAGCCTCTCATAGACTATCTTTAACGTGGGAAGCTTCCCACAAATCCTGACGTAAGGTTGATGTCCGAAAGGTGTAAGCCCTGGTCCAATAAAGTCCAAGCCTAGTTTTAACCATAATTGGGCCGTGGCAGGAACGAGGCCGTGTCCTGGACCTGGGCCTGTCCATGCTGGGCTCCACAAATAAAGGAAGCCCACATATGAAGCTTCAATAAAAACCCTACCTTGGTGAGTTTCTCAAACCCTAGAACGCTTTCGTGTTGCGCAGCGAAGAACAGACTGCTTAGAGCCTCGCCTTCGCTCATACTTCTGGTTGGAAATCTCTCTCCTTCAATCCTCAATTATTTTTCCTGATTGATTTTTCTGTAATGCGTTCAAATTCTAATGCTTCAGGAATTGTGTTCTTTTTCTGATTTCTTCTTCTGTAATTTTGATCGCTTTTGAACGTGCAGTGAAAATGTCGGTCGGTGAAATCGCTTGCTCTTATGCTGCTCTCATCCTCTACGACGATAACATCCCCGTCACCGTATGTTTCTCTTCAATCATGACATCCTCCTTCAATATTTATGTTCTTTATCAGTACTTACCTTTCGGGATCTCGTTTACCGATTTCTAAGTAATTAATAGGAAGATTATCATGTGTTATTCAAAAGGATTGTTGTAAATGTTAGGAATGTTATTCTTTTTCAAACTGTTTCTTGGTTTTAATTTCATATATATATGTATAGAACGACGCTTACAATCTAGATATTGTTTTTCTGTTATTACACATTTTCTTGTATGTTTATGAAATTTGTTCCAATGTGTGACGATTGTTTTTTGTTATGAATTTCTGTGATAGCGTTTGTTTTATCATCTGTATGGAAATGAGATCGTAATGTGTTTCTTTTAACAGGCAGAGAAGCTTGCCACGCTTGTAAAAGCTGCTGGAGTGGATGCGGAGTCCTACTGGTTCAGCCTTTTTGCTAAGCTTGCCGAGAAGCGTAACATAGGGGATTTGATCATGAACGTTGGGGCTGGCGGAGGTGCCGCAGTCGCTGCTGCTGTTCCAGCTGGTGGAGCCGGTGGGGCTGCTGCCGCAGCTGCACCTCCTCCGGAAGAGAAGAAGGTATGGCGATAGAGCAATTTCAATTCTGAGAATAATACTGTTATCCGTTCATGTACATCGTCATGACATGGGATTGTTTTTGTTACTTGCAGGAAGAACCAAAGGAGGAGAGTGACGATGATATGGGATTCAGTTTGTTTGATTAGATCAAACATGGCTTTGCATATTTTGAACTAGGTTGACTATCTTTTGAATGCCAGAGGGCTTTCTTGTTACTTTTCTGATTTGTAGTTTTGGACGTCCGTGACAAAAATTTGCCTGAAGTTTTGTTTTGAATTTGAATTTGATCGCATCTTTTTGGTTTATATATATCTTATGTCCTCTCAGTATAGCTAGGCATATATGTTTTGGATGGTTGTTGCTTCTATGCGTTTCTGAACCTCACTTCCAGTTGCCAAATTCTTCTTCAATTGGGAGGAATTGAGCTTATGATATGGAACAATTTCAGTTTTTTAGAATGAATCTGGCTAAAATCATTAATTATTTCAGAAAAAAAAATTCGTTTAGTACTCATACGCACAAACAAAGAGTTGGATAGATACAAAACTACGGTTGAACATCAAAGTGTGTTAATAACTTGATTAAAATTTGGACATGCCGCATGGTATGTACAGCTCCACTGTGATCAATTCCCTCCCCAAGACTGGATCCACCGTGGGGTAATCATTAACTACCCCTCGGGATAATCCAAGTCCAGTCACACATCCCTAACCATGCTTATGCCTAGCTCACACATATCCCTAACCATGCTTATGTCTAGCTCACCAGTACTGGAAGTTATTTGCTATTTGGAAATCTATCTGTCATTCTTAGATCTTGTGGAGGACTATCATGGGTTCGTGACATCTAATCTATTTGTGCGTCAATATGTAAACC